CTTTTGCGTCCTAATGGGAAACGAATATCGAAAAACCACCATTTATTCTCCACCCTAATGCATATATCCCAGATAATTATGATCTGCGGAAGAATCAAAGACACACACGTTCACACTCCCGAATTGGACTTCGGAATTTGAATAAAATAAATTTTTCTTTATTTCCCTTTTTCTCTAATTCTGTCACATTTCGCTTTTTACCTAATTTTTTTTGCCTTTAATTCTAAACTCTAAATTATATTTCCATACTCTATTTTGGTGTGATTGCCAAAGGATACAAACAATTATAGTAAAATTATTATTTTTCGCAGCGTTTTAACTGATTGTTTCTTTTTATTGTCACGATATCTTTTTTGGCTCGGGGTATTCTAAAATCTACCTATATACCTAGTTAGCCATCTCTCTCTCTCTCTCTCATGATATATATATATATATATATATATATAATGTATATTTCTCTCATGATATATATATATATATATGTATATTTCTCTCATGATATATATATATATATATATATATATACACTATCTGGAAGAAAGTGACGGGACACCCCTCGAAAAGTAGAAAAGTCGACAACACAGCTGACACATGCACAATAATAGGTATCACGTGTCAGCCATATCCTATAAATACTCTGTGGAGTCGACTAGAGTTGTTTTTTGTCAAGATGGCGCCACGGGAAGAGTTGTCTGAGTTCGAGAAAGGTGTGTTGGTTGGATTGCATCTTGCCAAGGTGTCAATTAGGGAGATATCCCGTCGCCGTAACTGCTCAAAATCAACTGTATCACGTGTTGTGTGTCGCTATAAGACTGAGGGTCACTGTCAGAACAAACCCCGAAGTGGACGACCTACAGTTTTCACCAGCAGGGACCGGCGGGTGCTCGGCAGGGAGATTCGAAGTAACCGTCAAACATCCATGGATAACATCGCTAATGAGTTTAGACAAGCCACAGGTGGGGCCGTTTCGACCAAGACTCTTCGTTTCGAGGCCCATAAGGGGTTACACTGGACGTTCGGCGGCCCATAAGCCTTTGATTACGAAAACCAACAAAAAGCGCGCCTACGATGGGCCAAAGACCACCGTATTGGACTCTGGATGACTGGAAACGCGTCCTTTGGAGTGACGAGTCACGATTTACCCTTTTCCGTTCTGATGGACGTGTTTGGGTATGGCGTTTACCACGAGAACGCCTTTTGCCCGAGTGTGTCGTCCCAACTGTAAAGTTTGGTGGAGGAGGATTGATGGTATGGGCCTGTTTCTCCTGGTATGGGACTGGCCCACTGGTGAAGGTTGATGGTGCGATGAATGCCGATAGATACTGTGATATTCTCGACAATCATGTCCTTCCTACCTTGTGGGTAATGTACGGTATGGATGATTGCTGGTATCAAGACGACAACGCAACATGTCATGTTGCAAGGAGGACTCTTGATTGGTATGTGAACAACAACGTTAAACACATGGAGTGGCCGGCGCAGAGCCTTGATCTTAACACAATTGAACATCTCTGGGACGAATTGGACCGTCGGTTGAGGGCTTGCACCCCACTCCCCAAAAGCAAGCCTGAACTATGGAACTTCCTATTAAACATTTGGAAGGAAATTCCTCTTGCCACTATGACTAATTTAGTGGAAAGCATGCCCAGAAGGGTTGCAGCTGTGATCGCAGCCAAAGGAGGCCCTACGTCCTATTAATTTTAATAAATATGGGTTTATGTCATTATAGTGTCGTGTCCCGTCACTTTCTTCCACATAGTGTATATATATATATATATATATATATATATATATTTGTGTGTGTGTGTGTGTGTGCGTAGCAATTTTGGTTCGATCCTCGATAAAACTAGCTAGAAAAAATAGTCAAAAATCACTTTTCTGAACAGGGATGGTCATTGATATTTCTTCTTTGCGCTTGGCTGGGGAAAAAGTACATGAAGTTGTCTTCATATTCACATAAAAAAAACAATGCTCGAAGACTTTACTTTCTGTGCGCCGAGAATTCAAGAATGATGAGAATGAATAAAATTTTTCTTCATATCTTCCTGCCACATCTGAAATATCATTTATGTTGCCTCATTATGTTGTCTAGAAGTTTAACAAAATATCAAAATAGAAAACTGTTATAGAAAAAATTATGCAAATCGATATATGACAAAATGCGAACTTTATAATGCAATTAAAATCCTTTCTCTAAAGCAATTTTTTGAGAAAGAAAGCCTACACTAAATTCTACAATGGAATTTTTCCACTTAGAAATTCAACAATATAAAAATTCAAATATACTCATATGACGTCAATTTAAAAAAACAAAATACCGAAGAAATTCTTCTATTAATGCTTTGTACAAATATTCAACGAAAAAATATAAGATTCGTGATCTGTAGCTCCTTAGCATATCTACTTTCATATTCCAACAGTTCTTTAATTTATTATTTAATCGCATTGCATTACTTTCTTTACTTATTTTCATTGCATTACCTTTTTTTTTTACTTATTTTAACTGCCGCGCCTTATCCTAGGTATTTATCTATTTTTTAGCTATAATGTAAGCTAATGGCGAAAGTTTTTGCTAAACCTTTGGTTTTACTTAATCATTAAAATAGGACCTTAGATACCAACCCTGTAATTTTCAAATTGTGGTGTCAAAATGTTGGTGCGGTGTAGCAAATCTACTGGTTTTTCATGGCAGGAAAGGTCCTAAGAGGTAGGCAACGTAGGTTACTGCCTACGGCGGAAAAATTTAGGATCCATAAAACCCTCTGTACTAGAGCACAAAAAATAATAATAAAATTAATACAACAAATAAAACAAATATTTCGTTTACTTGAACCTTAAAAATAAATGGGTAATAAAATCAAATACAATAGAAAGCGAAAAGATTCTAGAAATTCCTTTATTTTGAGATGCACCGTAGATCTGATTTAACAAGCTTATTCAAATGTGAGAGGAATTGAGGACTTCTGGGTATTTCTATAACTAAATTGTGAGATGCACGAGCGCTGCAGACAATATTCCATAAGCATTTTCCACTTACATATAAAACAGAGTCTGATTTAAAACAATGTTTTTATGTAATTCTGGTTGGGGTTGGTGATACAGTTAATTACAAATGCAGAGCACGTGGAAAATGATTTTTAGAGATAAGTAGTTATTATTTGTTATACGCTTATGAACCAAAATTCCCTCGAGTACTTTTTTTTTCAACTGATTTCACTTTTTTGGTATTTATGTTTAATCATGATTTTCTTGAGTACTTTTAAGCCGATTTTTGGTATACATCCCCAACGATTTCTGGCATGGAACACTTTCGTCCTCACACGATTAGGAAGATACAAATTATGCTCCAAAATAAAGGGATTTCGTGGAAAAAAAATATGAAATTTTTTCATTGTTCCTCTGCACTATTTTATTATGCAAGATCCAAAACAAAAATATAAAATATATTTTTTTCTTTACTGTAGATAAGGTGAGCAGAGATTCAACGAACTGTATAGTCAAACGAATTATAACTTACACTGTATAGTCAAGTGAGTTAAGTTCATAAAGTTAAAAGCACCTGTAAAAAGGAATCTGTAGGGAGGAATTTTTTTTTTGTGGGGGGGGGCTTATTTGACGGATAAAAATACTGGGACAAGCTGTGACCCTGAGTAAGTTTATATATATATGAAATGACTTTACTTTTTTCGTGTTTTATCGTGATTTTCTTGAGTATTGTTAAACCGATTTTTGCTGTATATCCCCAACGATTTTAACATATTTGAAACGTTATGTTGTGGAAAGTCCTGAACTTCTTATACATACATATACATATATATATATATATATATATATACACACACAGTCCCGTCACATTAATGTGACCACCTGTCAAAAGCCAGAATATATACTCTTGTATATTCTGGCTTTAAGTGGAGTGTGGAATGTGGTATTAAGTGGTATTTAAAAGGTATTAAGTGGAATTCTTTATATACACTCCACTGCAATGTGCTGCCACCTGCCTTTTGTGATGGGTTATTTCACGTTGACGTCGAAAGTAAATGGTGATCACATTAATGTGACCGGACTGTATATATATATATGTATATATATTAAAATTAGAATATTTTTAAAAAATATTCGATGAATAAATATAACCCTATTCTTAGAAAATCATTTGTGTAAAAAAGAGACAAAAGGAAATGAGAGAAAATTTTATAATTATGAATTATCTGTTTTTAGTACGGATTTCAATCAAATGACTTTGTTATCAATTTATACAATTTTTGCAAGGTAAGATAACTATGTTTCCTATGTATCATTTCAAACCAAATGTTCTATTCTTCAATATCTGAATTCTGGAATTTGAAAGCTAATATCAATCTAACTGTGGTGTGTAGTTCAGTGAATGCCAAAAGAAGGCCAGAAGAAATCGTCAGTGAGTGTGGGTAGATTTGATGCAAACATATCAAAGTGGCATTTTTTGGTTTGGATCTTCTCAGACAAATTTTTCAATTAGTGGAGAAGTTAAGAGCGTTTAAAAAATATCTATCAAATATTCTGATGAAATAATTAGGGAGATTAATATATTATCACGTATGGCTATTGAAGTGAAACAGTTACAGAGTAAACATGTACAAGAACACAGTAAACATGTAGGCAAGAAATTTTTTTCGTTGGCTTGGATTTCAGGAAACCTTTAGATTCCAACCTTGGAAATATACATAACATAGGGTTTTAGTTGTAGTCTTTCATGGTTCAGAGGTTCTATGATTGCTGTTAAATCTAGTGGATGGCGTATGTAACAATATGTTCGTGTTTTAAGAAATTCAGGTGATGTGATTTTAATGTATGTTAACGTAGATATTGAGAAATCAAGAAAGTGAAGATAATAAAACCAACTGAATTAGTGTTTCTATTTAATGTGTAATATAAAAGTGTACTATACACAGTCCAGTAGATTCCTTGCTTTCACCCAGGCGGCCCGGGTTCGATTCCCGGCATGGGAAGAATATTAGCGAATGGCCATACCATGCTGAATATACCGGTTCTCGTTAGATCACCGAAGTCAAGCATCATTGGGCGCGGTCAGTACTTGGGTGGGTGACCACCTGGGAACACCGCGTGCCGTTGCCATTCACAAATGTGGGACCTGAATGGCCGAAGTGTCTAGCGCTCTGGCGCTCGGTGCGACAGGTTTCGGGTTCGAATCCCGGCGGTGCCATGGATGTTTGTAGTGGTTCGGAATCCACTTTAAGCCGTAGGTCCCTGTCTCCTATGACTGTAAGATCGTCACAGAGCAGAAGTCAGACTTCTACCTACGGGTGCTCCATCAGAACAGAAGCTGCACCCATCCTCCCTCCTTCCATGAGGGGCACGACAACAACAACAACATACATAGTCCAGTCACATTAATGTGACCGCCACCCACTTTCAACGTCAACGTGAAATAACCCATCACAAAAGGCAGGTGGCAGCATATTGCAGAGGAGTGTATATAAAGAATTCCACTTAATATCACTTAAATACCACTTAATACCACATTCCACACTCCACTTAAAGCCAGAATATACAAGAGTGTATATTCTGGCTTTTGACAGGTGGTCACATTAATGTGACTGGACTGTGTATATATTTAATGTGTCTTCAAGTTCATACGTACACAATCTCATATTGAAAAAAAAATATTATAATGAATTTCCAGTACTAAAAAAGTAAATTCACGGGATTCAAAATATAAACCTTCATTAATGACAAATTTCTTGAGATTAAAATATATACAATTAACGTAAGTGAATACGGTAGATTTACTTAAAATCAGCTAATAATACAAAAGAATCATCTACATTCAATGCTCAAGTAACTTACCCACATACTTAGACGTTACCTATATAATTTATTACAAACGTCAAAGCCAATAACCATATAATAAAATATTCATAACATAACCGTATAATCAGAAAATATTTTTCAAAATGCTTCATCTTCTGAATTAAATACTTCTCAAAATATAAATAAACAATATATTGTTTTGAAAAATAATCAAGGGAATTAGTCTCAAATGAATAGAGGGAAATGAAATAATTTTAGTTGGCACATATCGTAAAATTAAATTGGCGTTTATTTTTAAGTTCAGTTTATTTAGTTGCCCTTTATTCGTGAAATGAGATAAGATTCTTAATCAAACGCAAATATTTTTAACAACATTTGCAATTAAAATTCGTAATTAAATCTTATAATTACTTAATGTTTTTAATGAGATAAAAAGATTTTAAAGGAAATGCAGTTTAAAAAAAGAAACTAAGGTATGAAATCGCTAATTATGCCTTTAATTAAATAGATGTTTCTTTTATGCAACAAAAAAAAAATTAAAAACATGTTTAGATGTTCATGCAAATTTATTGCTTATCTTAATTATAGCTAGTGTTCATATGAGCTCGTATGGCAATGCCATATGAAATGTTTATCTGTAATTACATTTAATATTTAATTAGTAAAACTAATTTGACATTTAAAGATTGCATTTCTAAAACTAAGTGTAGCAATAATTGGAAAACTGTTATTTCTTTTTTCTATAAAATATTAAATGTTAAAATATTTAATTTATAGCATCTCCAGTAAACAATATTTAACAATTTATAGCATCTATAGTAAACAATATTTAATGATTTATCATTTCTTTTTTGATATGGAAATAAAACTAAAATGAAAATCGCTTAACACATTTTTAAATGAAAACTTGTTTAACTTATAGTTAACAATTTATTCAGAATAATATTTAATTTTTTATTTTTTTAATTCTGAAAATTTTAATTAACATATTTTAAATTAATGTAGTTCCTTCATTAATTTTTCATTACCAAGAGAAAAGTTTAAAAAAAAAATATTTTCAAATTTGCAATTTCACTAATAATAATTCAATAGAAGAAAATGCCAATTTCAAAAAATAAATAAACAAAATAAAAATAACAACGATAAAGAGATCAAGATTAAAAATCAAATTCTCTCCGTTAATTTATGCAAAAAAAGTATTTTTTAACAAAAATTAATTAATTGAAATAAAGCATTAAAATAAATAAATAAGTTTTCAGCATAAAAAAGTAATAATGTGTTACTGAAATAATTAATTATAATTTTTCTATCATAACTTCTTATTTATATTAAAAATTACTATGTTTTTTTTTAACAATGCTCTGTTATTTCTCTCCAAAAAAAAGTCACAGGAATCCTGTATATAAATAATGTCCAAATTCTAATAAATTTCTTACTTATATGAAAAAATTTTGCTGTATAATAATACATTAAAATACAATGCAATAAGCGAAAGACTATGACAGTTCACTATAATACATTACTCTTGAATACTGAACATTTTGAATAAAGTCATTCACTATTAGAACTACTGCTACTTAGAAGATTCAGCGTTATTCAGAGCTCCTGCTACTCGGAACTCCTACTACGTCACCAGAATTTTGAATGAACTTCCCATGGCAATGATATCTTTAGATTCGTACTCTACCCCAGGAGCAAAACTGAAGGGTTTTCCATTAAATTTTTGAATTGATTTCGAATTCTGGGGAAAGAATTAAATAATTTTTTTTTTTTACATTAGTAAGTTTTTATGCAGAACAAATATTGTTTTATCTATGTAACATACCATCTAGTTATTTAAATATCACAAGCATATTTACATTATTTTTTAGCATTCCTATGATAGTAATTATTTTAAAATTAATTATTACCCATAAAATCATGGGTGTATGGGAAGCAGGGTCCGTGGCTTCCTTGACCCTTTTTAATTTTTTTCAATTCCTTCTATTAGCTCACACTCTCCCTATATATATCTTGTTCAAATTTTCAATCGTTCATAAAATACTTCTTATTCATCCACTGAAGTTCAAATACATTTTTATTGAACTTGTAGTGGATGACACTTGATGTTAATACACTTTTTTCAAATATTAATTCATTCATTAAATTTAATTAATTAATTTTAGTTTTTTTTAGATTCAAGTTGCATATATCTACCAATAGATGGCGCCAGATAAATTAAAAAAAAAATGAATGAAAATTATTTATAAAGAACTTTCTGCAATAGAGTGACAAAAAAAACGAAATGAAATTTTTTGTCAATAGATGTTTTTTTTTTATATATTACTTGTTTTTCTTAAAATTTCTTTCACGAACTTATTTATACACATTTATTTAAATTTCTTTTCCGAGTTAATAATTAAATAAAATAAAATTATTCTATAAAATCGTCTGGTGAAAACAAAAACAATTTTATTTCCGAGTGAAAATGAGATTTTTCAAGGAAAGAAAATCGTTTGGAATTGTTTATTATTTATTTTTTAAGATTACTACTATGTGTTTTGTACTAACATAAAATTCTAAATTTTACATCTAACCTGTATATAGTCCCAGTCGATTACAATTGTTTTTTAATATTGTTGTTCATAGAATTTTTTTTCTACCTCGTTTTTCATATATTTATGCATTGTTAATGCCAATTTTTTAGAATTTAGTTTTATTATTTTATTTGCATTACATTTGTTGTTATTGTTATCGTATCTCCCATGGAAGGAGGGAGGAGGACAGCTTATGATGTGATGGAGCATCCGCAGGTGGAAGTCAAGTCTGACTTGGCTCCGTGTCGTTGAAGAAGGAGGGCAGTGCCTTCTGGGTGGACATTTATTGGGAACTATCTTGCATTTATGTATCGTATGGGAAAAAATCCGAAAAAATCCCATCAGGTAGTCCGACTCACGAGGCACGATGTTGAACATCCCAAACGCCATCGAGTCTCCTCGCGTTTTGAAACAGTGTCTACCACAAAGCCGCCAGTCGAGTGAACCTCTGTCCTAATGCTCACCAGCGGCTCAAGTTGCCACTGAGCCACGAGTCGGTCACATTACATTTGGTTTTGAATTTTTTGATTGACTGCTTGATTTTAAACTTGCGTGAAAGTTTCCGGATCATATCTGTTCAAATAACATCACGATTCCAGATAAAAAAGAAAAGTAAAAAATAAATTTTAAAAAATGTATGATATTTACGTTAGATATTTTCGATTTTAATCTTTAAAAAAAATATTTAAATCAATAAACTACAAGTACATATTCAATATATACATTTTCAGAATAAATATTGCTCAAATTCAAATTCTTATTATCTTTAACATGAAAAAATTTCTGTTAAAATATGAAGTCAAAAGTATTCGTATAATTTCTCAAACATAGTAATATAGTTTTATGAATCCAAATAATATATGTTTGTATCAAATCAATAAAATGTATTAAATTCTAAATACATTATAATTTTAATATTCAAATCTATATCGATAAGTCTTTATAACATGTTTTTGTAATTTAAAAGTATAATTATTGGGATAAATAGATTTTATTCTTTTATTAGATTTTTTCTTTCCCTTCTTTTAAAACGTTTAGAAAAAGGAAGAAATTAAATTATTATTATTAAATAATAAAAGAAAATTTAATTCAAAATCAGAAATTAAATTCATTACTTCACTTATATATTTATTTGTTCTTTGTCAAATTTAATAAATGTATTTTTTAATTTAAATAATTATATATTAAGTTATTCTGTATATACTATACTTAAAGAATTAATTTAAGCTATGCGTTCAATGCAAAATTTAAAAATATCCATAGACGTAATTAAATTTTACCAACATATATGCTACTTTAAGAAGTAACCTGCATTCAAGAAACGATGAAGAATTTTAATTAAAATATCTTTTCTGAGAATAAAAGGAAAACCAGTTAAATTTAACGAACGATGCATCAAAAAACTTGAAAGAATAATACAGTAGAAAAAAGAGAATTTAAACTGGATTTTTTTTTGTTTAAATTAAACGTAAGCTTTAAATTAAAACATTTTGTATTTTTCGTCTCTAATTCGTGAGATATTTTTATTGTAGTAAAAATTGTTTAAAGTGAATTAATTTTTTTTGCAAGAGAGCGAAAGTTTCATTTTTTCTCTCTTTCTAACTCATTTACCTTGTATTCGTATGCTAAAATATTTTCGAGACAAATAAATAATAATTATAAATAAAAAAAAATTTATATCATACCATAAGTTGTTTAGATTTAATTTAAAAGTGTAATTATT